ATTCGCCTCTGTACTTCTTGGAGATTTGGAGTTTCCAGGAGAGAGTCAGATATGTGTTTGCTGGACTTCCAGGAAGCGTCTCCCGCCTTGAGCTCACCACAAGCTCTATTGTGAAATATATATTTGGTCTTTCCCCCCATTTCCTATCATCCAACTCTCTGAGATCCTTGGAATCCCTAAAGTGAGAAGTGTATTTTTTGTATGCCGACGAGCTGATGGTTGGCTCTCAGTCAGCTGGAAGTTTCAGGATGGGGCTGGCCACTAGAAAGGACAAGACAGGATTAGAGGGTTGGGACTTTCAGCCCCAACCCTAACTGGGGGCACGGAGGGGGAAGGGGGCTGAAGGTTGGGTTGGTTACCTATGGATAAGCGTTTTAATCAATCATGCCTACCTAATGAAGCCTTCATAAAAATCCAGCTAGACTGGGTTTAGGGACTTCTAGGCAACAGAACACTTGGGGACTCCTGGAGGGTGATGTCCCCAGAGAGGGTATGAAAGCTCTGCATCCCCTCCACACCTTGTCCTCTTCTTCTCTTCATCTGGCTGTTTTTGTGTGTCCTTTAAAATATCCTTTGTAATAAACCACTAAACGTGTTTCCCTGAGTTCTATGAGTCACTCTAGCAAATTAATCGAAGTCACGGAGGCGGTCGTGGGAACCCTGATGAATAGAGGGGTGGTTAGAAGCACAAGCAAAACCTCCTGGAGCTGGTGATGGACATTGGAAATGGGGGGCAGTATCATGGGACTGAGCCCTCAAGTTGTGGGGTCTGACGCTCTCTCCAGGTAGATGGTGTTCGCACTGAAATGAGTTAGAGGACACCCAGCCCGTGTCCACTGCAGAGCTGATTACTTGCTTGCTGGTGAGGAATACCCACACAACCCTCCTTTAGCAGGGGAGTTCCTGAGGCTCGGAGAAGGCAAGTGACTTGCTCAGGGTGGCCCAGTTACGACGTGGAGGCCTGGGGATGGGGTCTCTTGGGGACACACAACTAGGATGGATGGGTGACACCTCTGCCACACAAAGTTGCTGGAGAGATGTGTTGAAGGGGTGAGGGTTAGCAGGTGGGTGGTGCCAGGAGGAGCCACCCTGTGCCTCAGGTTGGGGTGGGTTCTTTCCACTTAGCTCGGCTCTCTGAAGGGTGGCCTGTGCCTGCTGTCATGGGCTGTGCAGAGTCAGGGAGGCATGGGAGCTGCAAGCATTCATTTTCAGACCCCCCCACTTGGGGCTTTTAATTCCTGGGAAAAAACTATTTTCACTTGAAAAACAGAAGAAGACAAAACTTGATTGCTGAGTTGTTCTTTTTTGTGGGTTTGTTTCGGTGCAAATTGTTTGGTAGTGAACACAGCCCGGAGAACTCAGAATGAAGACAGTAGACCACAGTAGACTTGGAGATTCAACTGTGAGTCCTTCAGGGCCACTTGGGTCCTACCATCCAGCCCAGCGCTCGGGACAGAGCTTGGCTGCTGCTTGGGACAGCTCTCGGGACTGTCTGGCTTCCCAGCCTTTGCCTGAGCTGTTGTACCCACCGGAATATTCGAATACTCATCCCTCCCGCTCTTCTCCGCTTATGGGGACACTCCCTCTAAATCTCCCAGCCTGGCCCCAGTGTGTGTGTCTGCCTCTTCCCTCTAGGTGCTGGGCTCTGCCACCTGCTCATGCTGCCCGCCCATCTCAGAGGCAGCCTGGGCTTCCCAGGAAAGGTTTATGTCCCATCTGTCCAGTCAGGCCAGATCTGTCCAAGAGGGCAGGCACAGTCCTCAGTCTTCTCGAAGGCCATGCCGCCAGCTGGGAAAGACATCCAGAGTCTCATCCAGGAAGCCACAGCCCAGAGGGTGCAAGGCGGCCAGCCCAGCATAATTTTGCCCAGGCCTGAGGGGTTTCCCAGGATGTGGGACTTTCAGTACTGAGCTGGGACAGTCTCAGTCACCCCAGCTGAAGGTGTTTGCCCAGAGCTGCACAGTGAGGTCACGTCCCCTCAACCTCCAGGTTCCCAGCACAGCACCGTGTCCCTACAGTGTCCCCACAGATGACCAACACCCTCACTCGGGGGACTGTGACCTGGAAGGGCAGAGATGGGCTCAAGTTCCCAGATATGTCAGCTGCAGGGCTGAATAAAGGAAACCCCACCTGTGAGTCTGTAGCTGTTCCCAGACCCGGGCCCATTTCCCCTCTCAGAACAATCCAGGGTTGGGAATGGAGCCCAGAGTGGGCAGACACCCCACCAGACGGCCTGGCCCGAGGGAGTGGAGTCTCACCAAGCTGCCCTGGGCCCCCTGAGACCCCCACCCCCAGCTCAGCGGTTGGAGGGGGCTGAGGAGGAGTGGAGGGTTCCCTTATCAGATCTCCGTTTCTCCTCTCGCTGCCTCAACTTGGTCCCTCCCCCACGCTGTGGCCCTTTCCTCTCTGAAGTGACGCTCCTTTTCCTGTCACCAACACAAGCAGCACACAGAGATGTTTGTTTCTGTTGCTTTAAAAAAGCTTCCTTGTGGCGAGAAGGGCGAGGGATTGCTTATGGGCCTATGAAGCCTCCCACCTCATGGGTGTGGGTGGCAGCTGGGCCCAGGGAGGGTTTGGGGTTGGGGGAGGCTGCACTTACAACCCTGGGCCTCTGCATCCTGTGCAAAGGCAAGGAATGTGGAACTAACACCCGCTGGGCAACCTGCTACGGGCTGGGCTTGCTAGCACTCACTGTCCCTTTCCACTCCTGCAGATGCGCCTGGGAGATCAGGGCTTTGTGATCGGGTTTCCACAGGAGGCAGCCAAGGCTCAGTGAAGGTTGCTGAAGTCCAGCCTCTGAATTTGTGATTTGGGTCTGCCAATGGCATGGTGCTGTCTTCAAGGCTCACCATTCAGCCTCCTCCTTCCTTCCCTGCCATTTGTTTCCTTCCCACACAGGGCCAGGCTGTATCCAGCCGAGGAACACGGTTTCCCAAAGCTTCTGTGTCCTCGGTCCCTCTGGATTAGGCATGAATCTGTGAGCTGGATTCAAATGTCAAGTCCTCTTGCTGTGTGTCCTTGGACCAGTCACTTAGCCTTTCAGAGCAGCAGAAGGCTTAACTATGCAATGATAAGCTTGGAGAACATCCCCCTCTCCCCTCCACTCCCCACCCCCGACAAGCAAGTGGGCTCTGGAGGCTGTGAGGCAGGGGTCTGGGGCTCCTGCATGCTAAACAAGGGCCTCAGGAAGGTTCCTTCCTCAGCCAAGTTGAGGAAACTGGCCGAGGTAATGGGGAGCTACTGAAGGTGGGTGAGCAAGGGAGAGCTGTGATGGAGACCACATTCCAGAAGCATCCTGGAGGCAGCAGAGTGGAAGAGAGCTAAAGGGAAGACATAGAGGCTGGGAGGCCATTGAAAGGGACTTGGACTTCCTTTTCAGAAAAGTAAGGTGACCCACCTCCCACCGGGAGCAAGAGCCATGAAGGCCAGACCGTCCCACCTGGCCTGACCTGGGCTCCTGCCCCAGACAGAGACCCAGGCCTCAACTCCTCCAGCAGCTAGGTGTGGGTGGGGGTGCCTACCTCTATCCCAAGCCCAGGCAGCTCCTCTAAGAACTACAAGTCCCATTTCTCCCCGGCCTCTGTCCCCTGGGCTTCCTCAGGCTCCCAAGCCCTCAGGGCTAACCCTAGCTAACTCTACCCTCTCAGCCTCCCACCTCAGAGCAGAGCAGGGCGTGACTGGGGTGTGTATCTGGACTCACCCACCACACCTCCTGCACTGGGTCTCTCACCTGGATGCTGGGGGGGAGCTTGGGATGTCAGGGAACTAGAGGGCCATCTCCTGTGACAGAAGCACCTTTCCTGTAAAGTGAGTGATCCCTGGAGTGTGAGGCTCTCTGATGTCTCACGGGTGTTCCTAAAGGTGAACTGTCCTCCGTGGCCTGTATTGGGCTCCTCTGGGAATAGCCCACGGAAGTGGTCGAGGAGATCAGGCAATGAGGATCTTCATTCTTCCTCCTTTTTTCCAAATTGTTGGAGGGAGGGTGTGGAGAGTGAGACCCCCTTGTTCTCAAAATGTTTTTTTAATGGTGGAAAAAAGGAGGGGTTGAATCTCACAGTCCACTCTGTGGCCATTTCCCAGACAAGTAAATGAAGGCAGTTTCTCTTGCACAAGACAAGGGACACAGCTGGGTGCGGTGGTGCACGCTTGTAATCCCAGAACTTTGGGAGGCCGAGGAGGGAGGATTGCTTGAGCCCAGGAGTTTGAGACCAGCCAAGACAACGTAACGCGACCTTGCTTCCACAAAAACATTAAAAACATTAGCTGGACTTGGTGGCGTGCACCTGTAGTGCTGCTACGTGGGAGGCTGAGGTGGAAGGGTCTCCTGAGCCAGGAGGTTGAGGCAGTGGTGAGCCATGGTCATGCCACCACACTCCAGCCTGGGTGACAGAGTGAGACCTCACCTCAAAAATGGGAGAAGGGACGCTGCTCCTTGTCACCCCTGCACCTGCTCCTCCTAGTGGCCCACATGCTCAGCCCGGGCGACAGAGAACGGAGATGCTTCTCCGGTGAGTTCTGATTGTGGCTCTCCTCAGGATATGTGTCCCCCACTAGGGCTGGCAGTCAGACTCCCCAGAACGCACCAGCTCTGCCCTCTCTCCTGGTGATAGAGGGACAGGAGAAGGGGAAGGGGAAGGAGTGTTGTACCGCAAGCCCAGGGCACCCAGCCTTACTGTGTGTCCTTCCTCAAGCTTCTTACCTTCTCTGGGCCTCTCCTTCATCTCTTGCTGTGCCTGCCTTGTGGGATTTTGGGGACCAAAGGGTTTGGGTACCAGCAACTGGAAGCCCCTCTGTGGGCCAGCACCGGTAGGCACTTCCTGAAGGGTTCTCATTTTGTCGTCACTGTGGCTCTACGTGCCACACACCCACTTACGACCCTCCCATTCCCAGAGGACGGGTCGCTGCAGGAGGATTTTGTTAAGCTGTTCCCCTGCTGACCAGGCCGTGCGTTTCTTTACCTAGAGCTTGGGAGATGAGTGGAGACAACTCCAAGTCCAGGCCCTCTCTCGCCATCCCAGACAAGAGACTGCAAGGTGAGGCTTTACCTTTGAGGATGGAGGCCTCTGAGGACTGGCAGAGGACTGGGGACAGACTGGGAAGAAAGGCAGGTAAGAGGGGGCCCAAGATCTGCTCAGAGACCCTGGCTTGGGTATGACGAGGCCTTGGCCATGCCTGGGAGGCGGTTCTACCCTTGGCTGTCACCTCAGCCTAGGGAAGCAGGACACCCCAGAATGTCAGGGGCCAGAGGATCTGGAACCACGAGGGCCTCAGCGGTGGCCAAGACGGAGTGGAGACTGAAGGACCACCCCCTGCTACCCAGGCACTGTGGGGCAGCTCCCCTTCCCGAGGCTGAGGAAGGAAAGCCCAGAAGTGGTGGAGGTGGGATGGGCAGAATCAAGCTTCTTGAAAGAAAAATCAAGCATGAGATATTTCTTTCCCTACAAGTCTTGCTATAGCATTGTGCTGATAGTTCAGCCCCATTGGATAGATGAGAAAACGGAGGCTCAAAAGGTTTGTACCTGTCCAAGGATGACTTTCTTGGAACTGGTGAGGGTCAAGAACCCTGGTTTGCTGCATTTTTGCCTTTTTGATGCCTTCTTGACTGGCAAGACCACCCCACTTGGGGGCAGACGGGGTGGACAACCAAGACTTAGTGGGGTAAGTTGTACAGCTGGGAAATGAAGGAGGCTTCCAAGCCTGTGCTCTGAGACACTAGCTGGCCTCCTCTTCGTTCAAGCTGCCTGTTGCCCACCCCGCTTTCCTCTTCCTCCGCCTTAAGGCTGTCTATGCCGGGCTCTGGGCCCTCTCCTCAGTGTGGAGAAGTTCTAACCCTCCTCACCAGCTTCCTACAGCTCCTGCTCCTCTGAGAGCCTGTCCCAGACTTCCTGAAGCTGTATCTGATCCGAAAGGTGACAGAAGGGGTAGCCTACCTTGGCCCTGCTGTGGGACCCTTGTCCTCTTGGAATCTGGGCCTTGGAATGATGCCCACAGGCCTGAGGTGAGGCTGCCCTGGAGGAGGCAGATTTGGCATCAGGGGAGCCAGGGTCAAGTGTGGGTTCTGACAGGGGCTGTGTGACCTGCACAGTCACTTGCCCTCTCCAGGCCCCAGTTTTTCCATCCTGTAGGCATATGGTCCTGGGAGGTGGGCAGGTGTGGAGAAAGGACACAGCCCAGCTTTTCCACTGACAAGCTGTGTGTCCTCAGGCCTGCCACTTTGGTTTGCTAAGCCCCTCAGTTTCCTCCCGTCCAAAATGGGAACAGTGAAGGCTGTTCCTTCCGACCTTTAAGGAAACTAACATTGACTGAGACCTCGGCCCTATGCAAGATGCTTCCTGAATCATTTTCATGGACTCCTCACCCATCTAAGAAGGAAATGAAAAGTTTTGTTTTTGATCTTTTATACTATGTCTCTTTGCAGCCGCCCCCCCCCCCCCCCCCCCCCAGTCTGGGAGTCTAAGGGTGGAGTCATGGAGGCTTCCTGGAGGAGATGGTACCTGGGCTAAGCCAGGCAGGCTCTCCTGCCTCCAATCCTACATGGACTCCAGTTTCTCTTGCAGAGAATGGGGATGTAGAGAGACTTTGCGTGCTTCTGACTGTGGGATGTGGACATGTACATGTGTGTTGTAGGATGGGGGTTCTGCCTCAGTTTCTCTCCTGGTAGCAGCCTCCACCAACGTCTCAGGGTGAGCTGGGGACAGGTGCAGTCTCCCAAGTTCCACCTGCCATTTGGATCCAACCCTCCTCAGACTCTGGTCAGGTGCTCTTTGTAGGGGGGAGGGAAAGAGTGGGAGAGGGCCTTCTATCCCACTCTACTGAAGACTTCTAGTGTCTGTCCAGGGGTTAGGAGGCTCTGGTGTGGTGCAGAGGGAAGAAACAGGTGCTGGGCTCCTGATGGGATGTGCTTGCACCTGGGCCAGGAGACAGACCTCATCCCTCATCCTGGCCTGCTTGCTGTGTGATCTTGGTCAAGAGGTTCAGCGTCTCTGGGCTTCAGTTTTCTTAACTAAAATGCAATGGTCACACCGAGAGTAAGGATGGTCGACGCTTCTTGAACATGTATGAAGTGCCAGGCACTGAGTTGAGTGCTTCTGTCAGCTCCTTTTATCCTCAGCTGCCTGGGAGGTAGGTGCGGTATGATGCCTGCCTTATGGGAATCAGAGGCACAGAGGGCAAAATAAGCATGCCAGACCTCCCAGCCAGAAAGAGGCAAGGGCATAGGTTGCACCTGGTGATTGAACTGAGTCTTGACAGTATGTGGAATGAATGCGGATGTCCAAGTGAAAGGGCTTCTGAAACTGTAAACACAACTACAATTGCTAATGTGTGTAGTTTGCCACAGACAAGGGCTTCACAAGGACCCCTCTCATTGAATTCCTATGACAAACCTGCTAGGGGACTTGATCACTATCTCTGCTTCACAGAGAGGGAAACTGAGGCAAGTTGAGGAACTTGGGCAAGGTCCTCCAGCCACTAAGTCAGGAGCCAGGGTTGGAATCTAGGAAGTCTGACTTCCTGGGATATGGCTGATGGTATATAGTAGGTGCTTGATACGTAACTGCTGAATTAAACTGAAAGAAAAAACCACCAAGAGACCAGGCCTGCAACCTGTGGTTGAAGTGGTCTCAGCCTTGTTGTCCCCATGGGCTTCCTTGGCTAAGACAGGAGGAAAAGGCACCCCCAGGGACCCATGAGGAAAGCTTCAAATGTCTCCAGACTCTACCTCGCCCTCCTTCCAAACCTTTCTCACCCTAGCACTGCATCCTTCTTCCAACCATTCCTTAAAAAGAGAAAGCCAACATTGTTGAGAAATAATTTACAAAATGCACCCGGTCCAATGAGTTTTGACAGATGTATACAGTGGTATCAACACCACCATACTCAAGTTATCACATATTCCTGTCATCCCCCAAAATGTTCTCATGTTCCTTCTTAATCTATCCCTCTCTCTACCCTCAGCAATATTTAATTTGGTTTCTATCAAGGTGCATTAGTTTTGCATGCTCTAGAACTTCCTACACATAGAATTAGAAGTTTGTACTCCTGTACGCTCTACCCATGTTGTATCCCCCTTGTGTAGTCTGATGCTTTTTATTGCTGAGTGGTGTTCTGGAGAATGGACATTCACAGTTTGTGTATCTGTTCCTCAGTTGATATGCATTTCCAGCTTTGGGGCTTTATGAATAAAGCGACTATGAACACTCACGGGCAAATCTTCAGATGAACATGTTTTCATTTCTCTTGGGTTGATGTCTAGAAGTAGAAGTGTTGGGTTATAGGGTAAATATATGTTTTACTTTATAAGGAGCTGTCAAATTCTTTCTCACAGTGTTCATGCCATTTCAGCCATCAAGAATGTATGGAAGTTCTACTTGTTCCATATCTTGTCAACACCTGGAATTGTCTGTCTTAACTTTGAACTATTCTATTGAGTATGTAACTGTTGCTTTAATTTGCAATTCCATGACATCTAACAACGTTGAAAATGTTGAGCATCTTTTACATGCATATGTTTTGGTTTATTTGGAAACATCTACTTGAATATTTTGCCCAGCTTTATTGGTTGTTTGTCTTTCTATTATTGAGTTGTAAGAATCCTTCATATAAACTCTTGACACAAGTCCTTTGTCAGATATCTGTGTTGCAAAATTTTTCCCACAGTTGGTAGCTTGCCATTTCATTTCCCTGAAGGTAACTTTGAAGTCTAGTTCATCAGTTTTTGCTTGTAGGGTTAGTGCCTTTTTAATGACTTGTTTAAGGAAACTTTACCTGCCAATAAGGTTACAAAGATTTTTTTCCTGATGTTTTCTTCTAGATCTTCTTATTTTAGCTTTTTTTTCTGTTTAGATGTATGGCACATTTTTAGTTCACTTTTTTTTTTTTTTGAGTTGGAGTCTCACTCCGTCGCCCAGACTGGATTGCAGTAGCATGCTCGCGGCCATCCCAGCGTAGACCTACTGGGCTCTGGCAATCCTTCTGCCTCAGTCTTCCAACTAGCTGGAGCTACAGGTGCTGATTTTTTATTTATTGTAGACACGAGGTCTCGCCAAGTTGCCCGGGCTGGTCTCGAACCCAGGGCTCAGGCAATTCACTCGCCTCGGCCTCCCAAAGTGCTGGGATTATGGGCTGAGCCACCAAGTCCAGCCTTTAGTTCACTTTGTAAGTGGTGTGAGGTGGAGTTGAGGCTCAAACAGTCACCCATTTGTTTCATCTACCATATTTGCTACTGCTTTCTACTGTTGCTTTTGTTTTTAGTTGTGTCTTCCACTCTTTTTCTGGCTTTTATTATTTTAATTGACCATTTTATATGATTCCATGTCCTCTTCTTTCTTAGCATACTTTTCCTTTTTTTAGTGGTTGCCCTGGAATTTGTAATATACATTTGCAACTAATCCAAGTTTATTTTCAGATAACACTACAGTGTTTCATGGGTAGTACGAGTACCTTATAATAACAAAATATTCTTCCTTCTTCCCTCTTTCCTCATATCATTGCTGTCTTTCATTTCACCTTCCTATAATCATTGAATAAATTGTTGCTACTATTTTTTTCTTCATTATCTTCACTTATTCCTTCTCGGATACCCTTTCTTTCTTTATGTAGATGTAAGTTTCTGATCTATATCAGTTTTTTCTTTCTGAATAACTTGTTTTAACATTTATTGCAAGGCAGGCCTACTGCAACAAATTCCCTTAGTTTTTGTTTGTCTAAGAAAGTCTTTATTTCTTCTTTATTTTTGAATCATAATTTGTCAGAATAGAGAATTCTAGGTTGATAGGGTTTTTTCTCTCAACACGTTAAGTATTTTACTCCACTATCTTTGTTTCTAAATGGTTTCTGAGAAGTCCAATGTAATTCTTATCCTTGCTCCTCTATAGATAAGGGTTTTTTTTCCCTCTCTTTTCTGACTCCTTTTCAGACTTTTTCTTAATCTTTGATTTTCTGCAGTTTGAATATGACAGGTCCAGTTGTAGATTTTTTGGAATTTATCCTACTTGCTGTTCTCTGTGCTTCCTGGATCTGTGGTTTGGTATCTGACCTTAATTCTGGGAAATTGTCAGTTATTATTGCTTCAAATTATTTCTTCTGTTCATTTATTTCTTCTCCTTCT